TTTTTAAAGAAAAAAAAGATAATTCATTAATTCCTTACAATCAAAAGATACGACAAGGGGCCTCGCTAAAACCTCCCGAAGAAAACCACATGGGAAAAACAAGGGGTTAGGAATTAGCAAAACCAAAGTCATTACATTAAGCAGAGAAGCGCTTGGACTGGAGTTCAGCTAGCCCTTCGTCTGCTTGAAAGAGCTGTGATTAGTATCTTGACATGAGGAGATGCCGGGCGAAATCCTTCTGTTAGACCAGTTTTGTCCTTCCAAGTATCTAGATTATTGGCATTAGATTGCGGTACAACAAGAACCATTTCTTGCAAGCTTGTACCCTGTTCAAGCAAAAATCTTGTCATCTTAACTGCTCTCTCAAGTTCTTCTATACCTTCCCCAACATAAATCGTCACCATCTTTATGTTACACAGGATTGACCTCAAAGTTGGAGCTTGTTTTTCCCAGTATTGCTCTTCAGTACAGTTAGCATTGTCCAACAAAATGTTGTTCCAATTCGGGACCTAAGTTTTAGAATAAATTAATTAATCAATCAGATAGTTGAACTGTAAATCTGTGCATAAATATATTATAGGACTTCTCACGTACTGTTTGAAATATAAACATATCGAATTACGCTGAGCTTTACCTCATTGGTTGTTTTAGGACATATCATAATTTTAAGAGTGTCGACGACAGGAGAGCTCTTGAATAAGCATAGCAGTCCAGGTATATCATATCTTTTCAAACCATAAGCAAAAATATCCAGCGTCTTAAGTTTCATAAATGAAAATGGTAGACCGCCTTGAAAATATATGCTTGCTAAAACCTGCATAGATAAATATGCCCAATAAATCCACCAAACATACTAATTAAGGAAATTTTCAGCATAAAATATATGAAGTAGAGACATGCATAGACAAATATGCCAAATTAATCCACAGAACATACTAATTAAGGAAATTTCCAGCATAGAATATATTAACATGGTCTCAGAGCTCTAGTTCTGATTTTCGGAACCGGGCGTTACAATCTCTAAATCTATGAAGAAGAAAAGGGGGCAAAACCCAGGTCTCGAAGAACCCTAGCTTTTGACTCAAAGTCTCAGATGGTTGGATCGAACAATGTCGAGAAAAAAGGGGTCATATCTTCAATGGGTTCAACTATAATTTATGGTTTGTTAAATTGTAATATTGTCTTGCCCCAAAGATAATGGATCCAGTCCATGCACAAAGAAATATCCATGCACATGCTAGAGAATTCTAGCAAAGTTCAAGTTGGTGGATTCAAGTTGGTGGAAAAGTCTAGAATAATGGTGAGGATTCCACCAACATACAAGATTAGTGTAGATAATTCTAACTTAGGAAGGTAGTGGAATTATCTAGATATCTCTAGCATGATGCTTCCATGCTTCTCCAAGGTTCCATCCATGCCTATTAAAGGAGAAGGCATCCACACCATTTGTAACAACCAAGAAAGCAAGTAGTGAGAAGTGAGAAGAAGCAACAAAGCTTCTAAGAGTGTTTGAGTGTTTCCTCTTGTTCTAAGTTTGTGAGTGAATAAAAATCTTATGTAATACTTTGAGTATTCTTTCTTTCTCTTGCCTATCAATTCCGCTGCATTACATTCTTGTTTGTGAGATAACATCTCCAAAGTAGTGAAGTCTTTTTAAGCCCCAACAAAGTGGTACCAGAGCTATGGCTAGCAACGCTATGGCAGCCTTCCAAGTTCCAATGCTCGACAACAACAACTTCGATAATTGAAGTATCAAAATGAAGGCCCTTTTGGAAGCACATGATGTATGGGAAGTCGTGGAGAAAGCCTACATTGAGCCAAAAGATGAAGCTACTATGTCCCAACCCCAGAATGAGAGTTTGAAAGATTCAAGAAAGAGAGACAAGAAGGCTCTCTACCTTATCTACCAAGCATTAGATGACAATGGCTTTGAGAAGCTCTCGAGTGCGACCTTTGCCAAGCAAGCATGGGAGAAGCTTCAAACCTCTTACAAATGAGCTAAACAAAAAAAGGTTCGTTTTCAAGTATTAAGAGGTGAGTTCGAATCTCTACAAATGAAAGGGTCTGAATCAATCTCTGATTATTTCTTAAGAGTCTTAGCTGTTTCTAATCAATTAAAAAGAAACGGTGAAAAGTTGGAAGATGTTAGAATTATGGAGAAGACACTACGCTTGTTGGACCCCAAGTTCGAGCACATTGTTGTGACGATTGAAGAAACTAAAAACTTGGAAGAAATTAGTGTAGAGCAATTAATGGGTTCGCTACAACATATGAAGAGAAACATAAGAAAAGGCAAGGGAATAATGAGCAACTCATCAAGACGCATGTCCAGCCAAAGAAGAAAGAAGAAAGCTTCGATAACGAGATAAGCCAGTACGAAAGAAGTCATGGTCGATGATGCAAACATGGACATGGACGTGGACGTGGTTGGAACTTCAACAACCATAGTAACTACGAAAGAGGAGAAAAATGAACAAAATGTCGTGGAAGAGGGCGCTCAAACTAGAGGTATGAAAAATCTCAAGTTCAATGCTACAACTGTCAAAAGTTTAGGCATTATGCTTGGGAATGTAGAGCTCTAAGCAACAGACTTGATGAAAAGGTCAATTATGTGAAAAGAGAAAGAAGATAATGGCATTATGCTACTAGCATGCAAGAACAATGATAGAGACCAAGACTATACATGGTACCTTGACACCGGCGCCAACAACCACATGTGCGGAAGAAAAAGCATGTTCGTAGAGTCCAATGAATCGATGAGTGGCAACGTTTCTTTTGGAGACGAATCCAAAATACCCAGAAAAGGAAAAGGTAACATCCTAATTCCCCTGAAAAATGGCGGTCACCAATTAATTTCAAATGTCTACTACGTGCCCAATATGAAAAGCAACATTTTGAGCTTGGGTCAACTCTTAGAAAAAGGTTAATATTCACATGAAAAATTATAGCCTTTTTCTTAGAGATGACAAAGGAAGATTAATTGCCAAGGTGAAAATGTCAAAGAATAGGATGTTTCCCATAAACATTCAAAACGATGTTGCAAAGTGTCTCAAGATATGTTACAAAGACACATCCTGGCTTTAGCATCTTCGTTTTGGGCATCTTAACTTTGGGGGACTAGAGTTATTGTCCAAGAAAGAGATGGTGAGAGGCTTACCGTGCATCAGTCGCCCTGATCAAGCTTGCGAAGGATGTTTACTTGGGAAACAATTCAGGAAAAGCTTTTCAAATGAGTCAACCACAAGAGCCCAGAAGCCACTCAAGCTTATTCACACCGATGTGTGTGGTCCAATAAAACCAAGCTCTTTGGGTAAAAATAATTATTTCCTTTTCTTCATTGATGATTTTTCAAGGAAAACCTGGGTATATTTCTTAAAGCATAAATCAGAGGCATTTGGAGCATTCAAGAAGTTCAAAGCCGCTGTAGAAAAAGAAAGTGGTTGCAAGATCAAAGCCATGAGATCTGATCTAGGAGGAGAATTCACTTCGAAGGAATTTCAAGAATTCTGTGAAGCCAATAGAATTCGTCGACCTTTGACAGTTCCAAGATCCCCTCAACAAAATGGTGTGGCGGAAAGAAAAAAATCAAACCATCCTCGACATGGCTCGAATCATGCTCAAAAGCAAGAGATTGCCTCAGGAGTTATAGGCAGAAGCGATAGCATGTGCTGTCTACCTATCAAATCGGTCTCCAACAAGAAGTGTGTGGGGAAAGACTCCGCAAAAAGCATGGAGTGGAAGAAAGCCAAGTATCTCCCATCTAAGAGTTTTTGGAAGCATAGCCCACGTACATGTACCAGACAAAAGGAAAACCAAACTCAACGATAAAAGTGAGAAGTTCATCCTCATTGGCTATGACTCAAATTCAAAAGGCTATAAGTTGTATAATCCAAACAATAGGAAAACGGTGATTAGTCGAGACATGACGTTCGTTGAAGAAGGAGAATGGGGTTTTGGCTCTCATGCGGGTGATCTTCACTTCTTTCCTCAGTTTGAAAGAGAGAATGAACAAGGGATGATGGAGCAAGCAAGAGAGGTTCAACAAGAATCCACTACTCTACCTGTTTCACCAACATCAACCAATCATGGCAATTCACCAGCATCAGTATCATCAAGTGGGAGTTTAAATGAAAGAGAAGTACCATGCATAAGAAGTCTACGAGATCTCTATGAGGTAGCTGAAAGACTTGATAATCCTACACTTTTCTGTCTCTTTATTGATTGTGAACCAGTTGACTTCCAAGAAGCAGTGCAAGTTACTAAGTGGAGGAAAGCAATGGATGAAGAAATTGAAGCAATCCAGAAGAATGATATATGGGAACTCGCTATTCTTCCGAAAGGACACAAAGCCATCGAAGTCAAGTGGGTGTATAAGACAAAGAAGAATGCCAACAGAGAGGTCGAAAGATATAAGGCGAGATTAGTGGCGAAGGGTTATAGTCAAAGAGCCGGAATTGACTATGATGAGGTATTTGCACCCGTTGCTCGGTTGGAAACTATACGATTACTAATTTCTTTGGCAGCTCAAAACAAATGGAAGATTCAACAAATGGATGTGAAGTCCGCTTTCCTAAATTGAGTCCTTAAAGAAGAAGTCTACATTTAGCAACCATCATGCTATGAAATCAAAGGGCATAAAGACAAAGTTCTGAAGTTGAAGAAAGCTCTCTATGGTTTAAAACAAGTGTCACGAGCATGGAATAGTCACATCGACAAGTACTTTCAAGAGAACAACTTCATCAAGTGCCCTCATGAACATACTCTCTACGTCAAAGTCAAAGATGGAGATATTCTAATTGTGTGCTTATATATGGATGATCTAATCTTCACCGGAAGTAATCGAATCATGTTTAAAGAGTTCAAGAGAGTGATGACCAAAGAATTCGAGATGACCAACATCGGGTTGATGGCATACTACCTAGGCATTGAAGTCAAGCAGAACAAAGAAGGCATTTTCATCTCCCAAGAAAGCTACACACATGAGATACTGAAAAAGTTCAAAATGGAAGACTGCAAGCCCATAAACACGCCAATGGAGTGCGGAGTCAAACTAACCAAGCATGAAGAAGGAGAAAGTATAGATCCAACATTTTTCAAGAGTTTAGTTAGAAGCTTGCGTTACTTAACATGCACAAGACCAGACATTCTCTATGTTGTTGGATTAATCAGTCGCTACATGAAGAATCCTACAACTACAAATTTGAAGACCACCAAAAGAATTCTTCAATATCTTAAAGGTACTGTTAACTTTGGCTTGTTCTATTCAAGTTCTGATAACTACAAACTTGCTAGATATAGTGATAGTGATTGGGCAGGAGATTCCGACGATAGAAAAAGCATTACTGGATTTGTGTTCTTCATGGGAGACACTGCATTCACATTGATGTCGAAGAAGCAATCGATTGTCACTTTTTCTACCTACAAAGCTAAATACGTAGCTGCTACCTCATGTGTATGTCATGCAATCTGGCTGAGAAACTTACTGAAAGAATTAAGCATCCCACAAGAAGAGCTAACAGAGATCTATGTCGACAACAAGTCTGCAATAACTCTAGCAAAGAATCCAGTATTCCATGACAGGAGCAAACACATAGATACCCGCTATCATTACATAAGAGAGTGTATTGCAAGAAAAGATGTGCAAGTGGAATACGTGAAGTCGCAAGACCAAATTGCGGACATATTCACTAAGCCACTCAAACAAGAAGACTTTATCAGACTGAGGAACTCAATCGATGTCACAAGACAAGATTAAGGGGGGGATGTTGAATTGTAATCTTGTCTTGGCCCAAAGATAATGGATCCATCCCACGCACAAAGAATGATCCATGCACATGCTAGAGAATTTTAGCAAAGTTCAAATTGGTGGAAGAGCCTAGAAGAATGGTGAGGATTCCACCAACATACAAGATTAGTGTAGATAGTTCTAGCTTAGGAAGGTAGTGGAATTATCTAGATATTTCTAGCATGATGCTTCCATGCTTCTCGAAGGTTCCATCCATGCCTATAAAAGGAGAAGGCATCCACACCATTTGAAACAACCAAGAGAGCAAGAAATGAGAAGTGAGAGTGCCAAGTGAGAAGTGAGAAGAAGCAACAAAGCTTCTAAGAGTGTTTGAGTGTTTCCTCTTGCTCTAAGTTTGTGAGTGAATAAAAATCTTGTGTAATACTTTGAGTATTCTTTCTTTCTCTTGCATATCAATTCCGCTGCATTACATTCTTCTTTGTGAGATAAACATCTCCAAAGTAGTGAAGTCTTTTTAGGCCCTAACATGGTTATCAAAATGCAGACCATATTCAAGTCTCATGATCTCTAGAAGCTCACGGAAAAAGGGTATGAAAACTAAAACATGGAGGATGATTCGAGCAATGATGAACAACTATCAGTGAAGAGGATTGCAATGAAAGAAAATGAAACTAAAGAGGCAAAAGCTTTTGGTATCATTCACGGAGCAGTTTCAGACGAGATATTTCTCTGAATCTCAAACTTGGAGACATCCATAGCAGCTCAGGATGTTCAACAATAGGAATTTTGAGGTGACAAAAAGGTTAGATTAGTCAAATAGCTCCAATGTTAAGGAGAGATTTTGAATATACTAGGATGAGTGAAGGTGAATCCATGTCTACCTACTTGACTAGGATGTTCAATATTGTGAACCAAATGAAAACTTATGGTGAGGAACTGTCAAATTAGAGATTAGTGCAGAAAATCCTTATTAGTTTACCTAAGTCCTAAGATTCTATTGCATCCAGGAGGGCATGTGCCCCTCTCATCCATTTTTCTCTTGAAATTTTATCATGTTAATCATTGTTAAAGTGCTTCAAAACACTTAATGAATTCTTAAGTGCTCCTCCTTTTTTATTATTTTCAATTTTATGTTTCTTAGATTAATTAATATAACAAGTAATTATAGATTACACATATTAGTTAGGCTTTATATAGATATTGTATGTTAATCTTGCTAAAATATTTTATTTACGCTTTGGAGTAAGATATTGGTATGGTATGATATGATATCCTATCACAACAATATCTCACTCACAAGGCCCTCTTCTTGGAGCATAAAACCTAAACCAAAGTAATGCTAGCTTGCTGAAAAATATTCCATTTTGTAGACCAAAACTTTGGAAATATATTATCTTCCACTAAAATGTGTATGGATGTAACATGAAATGAATTAAGTGGTTCTTCATAAATGATATGCACAATTTGAAGCACTGTTAGTATAGGTATATATAGGAGCAGATCTATAGACCCGGGTGGTTCCACAACTCTTCGAAAGTTTGAAGAAGCGCCTGTAAGGACTTTCGAGGACCACCCAACGGTTTGGGTATGTGGTGGAGGTGAGAAGAGTACCATGGATGTGCATATGCTGTGCAACAGAAGCCTTGAAAAAAGAAGTCTAATTTCAGACTAAGAGGAACACATAGCTCTCTACTGTTCTTGAACCTTGGTTTCAACGAAGAAGAAAGAGAAATGACTTTCTCTCTCCATTTTCAGGTAACCAACTCCCCTTTTTTCTTTTTCTTCTTTTAATTGATGCCCAATCAGGTTGTGCCACCTAACATTTTGGTTAACAAAGGGATGATGCATCACTCACCCAGTTTTTTTATACCACTTGTTTGACACCGTTATTTCTTTCAAAAATTCACTATAAATTATAAGACATGTGAAAAATATTTCGTAAAGTACTATATATGGACTTGTAATCACTTGAACTTCCTCCTACCATCAATTTCACTAAATACTAATAGCAAAAATTAGGATATTTTTGTATGTTATATATGTTAAATAATAAACTTAATTTATCAATACAAGTATATAGTGTTATTTATGTGTAAATAGACACTTATTTTTATGACATATAATAAACTTTATTTAAATTCGTCTAATTCGGCCCCTGCCCATGCGCTAGGCTCGAACCCGTTACCTGACTAGCACCTAATGTCTTTTAGAATCTTAATTAGGACCACCAATGCTAAAATCCTAGATTCGCCACTGGGTATACACACACATATACACGTGACAATTAAGATATTCTCCACCAGCCAATGATGCTGGGAAAAGTTTATGAAGCATGTAGCCTCGTTTGGTAGAGGGGATTGTTTTGAAATGGATAAAACACTATTTTCAAGTTATGTTGAAGAATAAGATTAAAAAGCTGTATCTAACTTGAAGGTAGAAGATAGATTACACATGAAGAAAACTCATCCATTCCAATCCTCCTAAAATAATTGGATTAGGACAAGTTTCTTTCATGATTTTAGCAACTGTATGTCTTGTTAGTTTAGCAACTGTATATCTAGTTAAAGCTAATAACCAAAAGCTAGATATATAGCAACTTAAGTTCGGCACCATAGTTTTTAACAAAACAAGTAGTCAGATGGGAAAAAAAGAAAAGTAAACTAACCCGTCATAATTCTCTCAACATAAAAAATCATTATCCTCTACCTTCATTAATTATACATTGAATTTAGAGGGTTTTCATTCCTATCCAATTCTAGTGACTAAAGAAGGCATCTAAATACTGGGAATATAAGCAGTAGAAAACACACAAAAATACTTCCCGATCATTACTCCTTTGATTAACTGTAAAAGTTGAATCAAGGATGAAATGCAGTTCTTACTCCCCAGAAATCTCATTACATCCAGGCGCCACAGTGTAATATGAAGACCAATCCTAAGCATCTATACTATATATCCTATATATCACACCATAGCTCTACAGATCCACTTTTACTAAAGAATGACCTTAAACAAAAGAACATTTCTAACTATGGTTTTACCATTTGATTTTTATCTTAAACATTTTGGTATTTACTCAGAAGCACTATATATTCATTTCCTTCATAGTCAGATGACTTGGTAGTTTCCTGTTAGGGATTGATCTTGGAAATAAATAGTTGAAGGGAGACTTAACAAATGGCTGGTTTGGATCACTTGATTAAGTACAATCTGAGGGCTTGACATACATACCAAAATAAATGTATCTTTATATTACTATTCTCCGTTGTACGTATTCTTTCAACATTTTAATGAATAACATACATTCCTACAAAATACATATGTATATAATATCCGGAAATTATAAATAAAAGTAACAACAACCTTCTAAATTAACGCCCCGAAAAGTCAAAAGAAACCCTATTTTACCTATTGATCATAATCAAGAAAACAGTACGTAATCTTTGTCATGGCGAGGCACATACTTCTTTTTACCACAATATTTGCCTAGCTACTTGTTATTTTAGCAACTGTATATCTAGCAACTTAAGCTCGTCACCATAGTTTTCTCAAAACAAGTAAAGTCAGATGGGAAAAAGAAAAGTAAACTAACCAGAAGAAGGCCGAAGGATTGAATATCAAGGACTGAAATTTGGGATGATGCTGAGAGAAGTTTGACCACGTTTTTAATAATCACATTGCTAACATCATCTTCTAACCAATAATGCATATAAAATGCATTCAGTCTAGGGAAGTTCTGGATTGAACAATCATCAGTATAGCCATTAAATTGCCAACGGAAGACTTTTAGATTGGGGGCAAAGATGTTTACCCTACTTTTATTGTCGCCGCTGGGATTTTCGAAACAAAATCTAACCGTCAGATTCTCAAGTCTACTTCCAGAGATGTCCAAGCTATTTAAGTTCATATCAACAACTCGCACATCTTTGAGCTTCGAACAACTGATTTTAAGATGCGTCATTCCTTGACAAGTTTTCATAATCAAGTTTTGAAGGAATGGAAACGAAGAATCTGAAAATAAATCCGTAGTCAAATGATCATCCAAGATATCCACACACTTGAGAGTCAAGGCTTGAAGGGAGCAAAGGCCACTCGTAGCCTTAACAAGGGAAAACGAAAAACAAAACCTAGGCTTTGAATCTTCTGGCTGAGATCGAAGCCGTATGCGAGTGGCGTTAATTAACGTGAGGCTCCGCAAGGAATCACACTCATACACACAATGAGGCAAATCAAACCTTTCGCCGCAAGCCATCAAGAGATTGAGTTGGAGTTCTCCAACCCTATGATTCACCACTCTACAAATGCAATCTTCTAAGCAAGACAAACTCATTAGCCGACCCGAAAATCGAAAAACATTGATGTTAGAATTTTCGGGGCGGCTAAACAATACTCTGGGAATGAATGCCAAAGCTTCCATTTGCTCATCAAGAACTACCTGCAGTTCGTTTGCATGATCTAATCTTTTCGGCATTGGAGGACAAACCTGGTTGAAGTCGAGAACAGGTAAGGTAGCCCAAAGACGGCTCCATGTTCTTGATAAAGCACTGTTTTTTGCAACAGATTTGACGGGCACCAAGGAGAAAATCTCATGTAAGATTTCATCAGGAAGATCGCTGATTCTGTCCCTTGCCTCAGTCATTGCTTCTGTTTTTTCAATCTGTAGTAAATCTTGTCCAAGATCTATGAATCTACAATCTCGGGACTGGGGCAGCCAATTTGCCCTCAAATCTAGGGTTTGGGCATTGAGACCGTCTTGTCTTAACTTATATATATACATATGCGATGAGGATGGAAACTTTTTTTATTTGTTCGCTATTTTCATTTCCTTTTAAGGGCCTTGGGTCCCCTTGCAGCAAACACCTAAGCCACTACCAGGTGATGTAGATATTAAAGTTTGTGTTCGAAAGATTACATTTATGCGCAATGATAAGGATATCATATTTTTTTCATTGTCGGAAAAGATTATAAATATACTTTTATTCTGGAAAAAGATTATACATATTTTTATTCTCGAAAAAAATAAATTATAGGCCTATACAATTAGCATTAAGGCCGCATTATTGATATCTAAGTTTTTTCATAACAGTTTGTTATTGATGAACACAATTAAACAACTTAGAGCTACAAGAGTCTTATTTAGTTATAAAATGATTGTTGAATAGCAGCTAGTTTCTTAAGGAGACTATTTTTTTCTAAGCTCTTCAGCGAAGAAAAAAATTCACCATGTTTAGGTTGAGCTTGAGTTTCCAAGAATTGCTCCTAAGTAGTGAAGTTGAGATTGTCCAATGCTGTTCCATGTCTGAAATTAAAAACAGAAACCCTTTTTTTGCTTAAGAACTTTCTGAAATGGTACCTCATCACTAGCACCAACATAGGGCAAATGGTGGACAAACCATGGAGAAGTCGAGGATACAAGAATCCCACATATATAAGTAACGGACACTGCAATGCAACGTATGTTTTGGTAAACAAAGAATAAAAATTCCAAATTAAACAAGTTTCTATTTTACGTTCATTGTCTCACCATGCTTTCTAACCCCAGCACTCTGAAAAACCTATTTTCCCACCTCACACTATCTTATCCTTCCCTTATCAATAGAAAGGGGAAAAAAATCACATCAATCTCAAACTGGCCTATTTACTGCTTGCAAAAGTTGCTCGTACAACCTCAGCTATATGGGTTAGTAGCAAACAGAAATCAAATCACAAAGTTGCTCTAGCAAAAAACTGAATGAGTTTCCAAATTGTAAATAATAGGGTTGGGAAAAAGCAGCAATAAACGCTAGAACCACTGACAGAATAATGTTGAAGCGCTAGCACATCTTCATTTATCTGAAAAAGCTATACAATCATTGTCAAAAATTCGGGAGAAAATCAAGGGAAGACATCAAAACTTAATCCATAGTTTAGGCATGACATTTTGACATCAGCCTATGCCCAAGGGAATCCCTCTATTTTCCTAATTTTATCCTTCCACACGTACATAAAGCAACCTGAATGAATGGAGGAAATCTAACACAAGAGCACTGATGATGAAAGATAGAGAAGGAAAGGCAGGCACTAAGCAGAGGGAGAAATGAAAACTAAAATATAAAAAATAAAAATCAAACACAAGGGCGCTGATAGGTGTAAGAAAATATAAGTATTTCAATCTAATTCCAGTATTTTTTTCCCGCATCCTAAGCTGTTCTACTAAAACCTCTAAAACTATAGCTAGTATTCAGGTAGAACTTCAATGGCAACATACATGAAGCCACCCTTATTTACACAAGCACATATCGCTACAGTGGACTAACTCTTACAATATAGATAAATAACGAATTGGGTATGGTTGTAAAATCCTGCTACTAGTGTACTTGGAAGTATCTGGAAATAACGATTGCTTGACAGGAGGAGATGCTGGGACACATCCCTCCTTTAGACCAATACTAAAGTAGTCCCAGATAGCTAGATTATTGGCTTTAGATTGCGGCAAATGAAGAACAAAAAATCTTGTGATCTTAACTGCAGTCTCAAGCTCTTCTATGTAGGCCTCAACAAGTAATAGGTGACCCAAGAAAGAGCTCGAGGTTTGGGCTTGAGTTTCCCAGTAATGCTCTACAATGCAGCGAGCATCATCCAACAAAATGTTGCTCCATTTCGAACTCTGAGTTTTAGAACGGATAAAATGAATCAATCAGATAGGTAAACTGTAAACCTTAAGGTGCACAAGTATATATTATATAGGAATTCGGAAGTAGTATTTTAAAATATAATTAAAAGCATATTGAATTATTCCAAACCTTGCCTTCCATTGGGGGATATTAGAACTTGGAGAGTGTGAACACTAGGGAGAGCTCCTGGGATATCACACTTTCTTAAGCCATAAGATTAAATGTACAGTTCCCAAAGATTCATAAATGAAAGAGTAATATTAGGTAGGCCGCCTCAAAATATGTTCTCGATAACCTACATAGATAAATATGGTGCGTGAATTGATCGACAAAACATATTTAATTAAGGAAATTATCAGCCCAATATATATTTAGATGATAATGTATGATCTCTGACATGTCCAAATGATTGGAGAAATAGTTACCTTCACTTAAATGCATTTGTATATATAGCATGAAATGGTGACAGCTCTTCACGATTGAACTGCACAATCTGAAGCTCTTCACAATTGATGTTAATTGGGAACATTTATGGAGCCTGAAAATAGTAACTAATGCACAAAAAATATGGTCTATCTAGCATTACACTTTTGAAAAAAAATGGTGAATCAAGGATAAAGGCAGTTAGTATAGTATACTGTAATATAAAGACCGATCTCAAGCTTACATATGATTATATCTCATCACACCATAGCTATACAAATCCAGTTTACTACAGTATCTTAAACAAAAGAACATTTTTAATGTTATTGCATTAGTCGTCTAAAGAGGGGATCTATTTTGATAAGAAGGCTCTGCAACGTGGTCCAAATCAATGATTCAAACCATCAAATTTTTATATCCTTCCTAAAAGAGAGCGAAGAGGAAAAGTCGTCATTGAGGGTTTAGACGCACATAAATAATACAATAATACATATATCTTAAATAACCCCCATGACGACATTCTCTTCACTTCCTTTGGAGTCTATGTTTAAATACATCTTAATTAGGGTTAGATGAACATAAGATAATAAATATCTCTCTCTCTCTTTATTAACAAGTAATTAACAACAGACTTTGTTAATCATCTAAAACGTCAAAAGATAATTAACCTAAAAAAGCTCCTTAGCCGGATCATGGTCCTATTTTACCTATCAATTATGAGAAATCAGTAAACTACCTCCAAGTAGTGTGCTAGAAACACCCTATATCATGGATATTAAAAATTGCATCATGAATGGTTACACGCGCGCACACATATATGTTATATATAACCTAACAGCATACATAACAGTGCTACTCATTCTCCAAACAACTGCATAACTATTTGTTATTTAAGTCATATACATGCTCTAGAAGTTGGAACTATTAGACGAAATCAACAATCAGTTACTATCCACGTAACTTGAGGAGTTTTGGTGTGTTTGGAAATCTTATCCCGTTGGTCTTCCATGTTTGTAGGACTCATTTTAAAATGTCTTTTGTAGTCAAACTGTTTGTAATCTGTTTGTAATCTTTTCATCTTTCTGTTTGTAATTTTCAAATTCAAAGTTCTATGTAATTTGGGTTTTCAAACCCACGATGTAATCTTGAAGTTATCATAAATACATGCAACCCATAGTTGTTTGGGTATGCAACTGAAGTGAAAAACCTAAGTTCCTAAGTTTTACATTGGTTTCTAGAGCATTTTTTGTCTAACGACAACGATCCTAGACATGTTCTTTTTCCATCACTGCTTCCCAAACTACCAACACCCCCCCCCCCCCAAAACAACCTTTTCCATCATTTTTCATCCTCCATGACTACCGTAGTGCACATTAAGCTTGATAGGACCAACTATCCACTGTGGTTGGCCCAGATTCTTCCCATCCTAAAGACTAGGGATTTAATGGGATATGTTGATGGTTCTCTGGTGTGTCCTCCTAAGCACCTACCTGGAGTTACGACTGTGAATCCTGCGTACACTTCTTGGGTGCAATAGGACCAAATGATCCTTAGTTGGACCAATGGATCTTTGACTGTTCTGTTTTGTCTGTGGTGGCAAGAAAATGGACTGCTTGAGCTACCTGGGAAGCTCTTGAGCTGTAAGATCCCACATCGCCCAAGGGAGTGATCCTTATATGTATATTCTCATCCCTTCCTAGCACGAGGCCTTTTGGGAGCTCACTGGCTTCGGGTTCCATCGGAACTCCGAAGTTAAGCGAGTAGCGCGCGAGAGCAATCCCATGATGAGTGACCCACTTGGAAGTTCTCTTGTGAGTTCCCAGAAACAAAACCGTGAGGGCGTAGTCGAGGCCCAAAGCAGACAATATCGTGCTACGGTGGTGAAGCGGGCCCGGGATGTGGTGGACCCAGGGCCAGGATGTGACAAATTTGGTATCAGAGCCTAACTCTGGCCGTGGTGTGCCGACGAGGTCGTCGGGCCCCTTAAAGGGGTGGATTGTAAGATCCCACATCGCCCAGGGGAGTGATCCTTATATGTATATTCTCATCCCTACCTAACACGAGGCTTTTTGGGAGCTCACTGGTTTCGGGTTCCATCAGAACTCTGAAGTTAAGCGAGTAGCGCGCGAGAGCAATCCCATGATGGGTGACCCACTGGGAAGTTCTCTTGTGAGTTCCCAGAAACAAAACCGTGAGGGCGTAGTCGAGGCCCAAAACGGACAATATCATGTTACGGTGATGGAGCGGGCCCGGGATATGGTGGACCCAGGGCCAGGATGTGACATGAGCAAAGGTATGCGTCTTCTTCACAAAATCGCATTTTGTTTTTAAGAAATGAAAACATGCTGGTTTGAGGAGATGCTTACTTCAGCAGCTGCATTAGTTAAAATTAACATCCAAGCTAGCCAGCGAATTTGACATAATCTTCTCAAACGAAGTAAACAAGCAACAAAGAAAAACGGTAAACTAACCTGAAGACAGCCGAAGAACCGAAGATGAAGGATTTGAGCTTGGGATGATGCTGAGAGAAGATTGACCACATTATGAATAATCACATTGCTAG